TCCTGATGATGGCCACCAACGAACAGAGAAACGAATCGGTCGTTTATTTTTAGCGTTTGACCACCCCGTACGTGACTAATTACGTGTTTACGAACACCATCGTCGGCATTTCTCGATGCCTCTTTGTACACGCTTTTTTATAGTCCATTAAAAGAATTAGTGAAGTCGCGTTTTCGAATGGAAAACCTCAATTTTCGAACGAAAGGTATACGCACTCGTTTTATTACGACAGATCACGATTATTTCTTATCCCATGTTGCGAGATTTTCGAATTGAATCGAGATTGTCGAAGAGTTTGTCTCGTATCTCGCCCTTGGGAAATTTTTGAGACCCTCATCAATCATTTTTAGTTTGTTCTAATAGAGGTTCTATGGTACTAAATTCGTGCACAAATTATCGCACATTTTGTGATTTATTATTTAATTTTTGTAAATCAATGATATTTTCGTAGTTAGTTAATGTTTACGTCTATACAGGATGTTAATTAATTTAGTGCCGATACTCCAGGAGGTGAATATTTGTATAATTTTAAGAAGAAATTTTTTATCAATATAAGTTCTAAATCTCTTAGTTTTTGAGCTACAGGGTGTTAAAATTTTAGAAAAAAATAACTTTTCTATCATAATTTTTTTATTACTCCAGATATTTTTTTGAAATTTTGTACACACTTTTATTAAGTATTATACATGGTGTTAATTAATTGAATGCCGATACTTCAGGATGGGAATATTTGGATGATTTTAAGAAGAAAAGTTTATAACAATATGTGTCCTAAACCTCTTAGTTTTCGAGCTACAGGGTGTTAAAAATTTTGAAAAAAAAACTTTTCTATCATAATTTTATTTTCTTATTACTTCAGATATTTTTATAAAATTTTGTACACTTTTTAATTATTAAGGAGCATTTTTTGGGCAAAAAATTGTTTTAAATTTTGACCAGTGACCTCCGTAGGGGGTTTGAACTGAATATGTTTAAAAAAAATGGTACTCCACTACTTTTTCTAAAAACCAAAATTATTTTTAAAATCCTCATTTATTTTGGAGCAAATTAATTCGGTAGGAAGACTTACTTTCGTATACTACTCACCATTTTCGCGTAAAAAAATAAAAACCAAAACAATTTTTTCCCAAGTTCATTGAGACCAGAGAATAGCGAACACATTAACGAAATGTGTTCGCTATTCTCTGTTGAGACTGTTTGATATTTTGTTGAAATTTGGTAGGCGCCCACCATGCATAGAAACAGTTTTTTTGGAGATAAAAATTAATTTTCTACTACCAGTGACGTCCACGTTCGAAATTTCATAAAAATATCTGGAATAATTAGAAAATTATAATAGAAAAATTATATTTTTTCTAAAACCTTAACACCCCGTAGCTCGAAAACTAAGATTTTTAGAACATATATTGATATAAACTTTTCTTCCTAAAATCATCCAAATATTCACATCCTTAAAGTATCAGCACTCAATTATAAATTAACCCACTTTATATGAAATTATCAACAATAAATTCAATCATTATAGTCGCATCAAAAGTAATCTGTTGCACTAGTGCATTTATAGATAGGGGGGGTTATATTTTGTGAAGGTCCCTCGTAGGTGGTGAAGCCGGAGCCGCTGCCGCATCTCGGCCGGCCATGCCATTATCGGTCGGATCGAACTAACAATTCAAAGTGAACCGTAAATTAGCTGGCAGTGTTTTGTCAAGGGAACAATTGGTCTCACACCTAGGCGACTTTGATCTCACCGGCGCACATAAATCTAACCACTTGCCTAATGAAAGCTAATGACGTCACCGGAATGGACTTCTTCTTTTTCTCCGTCTTTCTACCGTTCCGGAGCGGCGGGTTCTCCGTCTCCTCGGTGTCTCTCGGGGCCCGTAGATTTTCATTAGCGATTTTATTGAATGCCTACCTATATAATTTTCCGATTCGATGGGACGATAATAATTTCTATATATATATTTTTTTGTCGGTTATAAAACTCAAATTGAGCAAAACTATTTACGATAGTTTTCGCAAACTTATACGTAAAAAATATAGCGTGTAAATTTACATGCAATTAATTCAAATTGACTATAAGCTCCCTCCCAAATTAAATTTTGAATACATTTAAATCAGAACAGGTATTTAATTAAATAATGGCATCTATTCCACCTAATGAATAAATTCTTTCAACCGTTTCCCATTCATCACCGCGCTGCATCTACTCTTATTATACCATAGTAGTTATAATGCGATTGAATGGTTTCAGGCGTTGAAATTAAGTTATTTTGTTATTAAACCGAGTAATTATTTCACGTTGTTACGACAAAGAGTCTTGTAGATTGTGGAAAAAGAGTTATTTATTGTTGATGTACGAAGGAAAGCGATTTAACGATTAATTATGTACGTTTTTCGAAATTATTAAGGTGCAATTAGATATGCTTTTGCCCTGCTAAGTGAATTTTAATATGATTAAGTACATTTATAAATGTAGAGGATATTAAATCACAAAAAATGATATAATGCCGTTTGATATTATGTGAAAATTAACTTCAAAAATTAATATTTTAGGAGTAATTTCAAAAATTCAATACCTTTCTGAATTTTATTAGATCTTTAATTTTCCAATAAGAAATTTTTGATGATACTTTCATTAAATTCTTTCTTTTATGAGGGATTCCTACAGTCAGTTTTAATTACAAATTAAACCTAATAGCTAAATCAACTAATGCAATAAAAAATAAAAAGATTTTAAATTAAAAAAAAATGCTTGTGGAGCCATCTGTATATTCGATTAAGTAGCATTCACAAACGAAATACAGTTTTCTCTAATCACTTTTTTTGTAAAGTAAACTGCACACAATAACTGAACGCTACATAAATCCTCCGCAAGATGTCTGCTCGTGCAAAATTTCAAATTTTCGATTTTTCGCGATATATTTATACACCATTTTCATTCCAATACTAAGATATTTAATTTATGAGATTTCCATCAAATATTTATTTATACTTACTCGTTTCGTATAAAGAGCAATTAAGCAAAATTAAAAATAAAATTCGATCGATTTCTCTATTTGTTGGCGAATATAATTTCGAAATATAAAAACGCCCAATAAATCAGATGCTAAAATGATTGATTAATCGATTTGAATGAGAAACTCGTTTATACAGATTGTCCTCTTTTATTTCGCCAATACAAATTGGAATGCATCTTCTACAGTTAATTTCCTGGGTATTAAAAACACAATCCCGTAATGATCCGAATGAATGCAGGAAAATGTGCACGTACCTCTCGAACTTGCAGCGAATTTTCCTCGACGGAAACGAACATAAAATAATCCTTACGAACCAATTTCACTTCGAAAACTCTTCCCTATATACTTCGCGGATTCGTTCGTCTTCGAATTTCCATATGAAAAGCCGCTTTTCTCGCCTTAAACGCGACCTTTTCCTCCGACTTTAATTAGGCTTACATTCGAACAGTCTTTTATACGCCGAATTTTTATTTAATAGAAACGAAAACAAAGAATTTCAGCTCGCCAGAGTTTATCCCGTTTCCAGCAGATTAAATGGTTTTTCTGACTGTATTTTATTATTTGCATGACCGGATTTTTACATGAAAATTGAAAATTCAGTGAATGTTTTGTTGGTGGGGACATCCTATAGTTATAAATAAAGTTTGGTTTTTAATTTAAAATTATTTAGCTCTTTCTATAGCGCTTTTCCTGGTAAAATTTTAATCTGGTGCCCATAAACAAGCACAGAAAAGGAACTTCAAAATGACTGGTTGGCCGCAAAGCGAGCCAGCAGATGTTTATAAAACGCCCGAAGTGAAATTGAAGTCTGTTTTCCCGGTTTTTCCTCTCCCGAGCGCGTATACACTCCCGCTTTTAATGTTACTTACGACAACGCGTAAACAATCATCGACGGGTTTCTGTTCCGTACGAGCCATTAAAAATGTTTAATGCCCCGGCCCAGCGTCGAGGCTTTCTGGAAACGATTCAGATGTAATATGACTTGTGAGTATGACATTTACGAAAAAAGTATCGTTAAATTTTATTTTTGATCCGGCCGTAGGAGGATCGTTAAACGCGACGTTCGCTTCTTTATAGTTTTTGGGAACTTTAATTAATCACCCGTAGGTATACTTATCTCATATTAATTGTATAACAAATTGTCTTTTTTGGTGCATTAAGATTTTTACCTAAATATGTTGGTATCACTGGATTTCTTCACCTAAAATAAGTTGTCTTAACTGTAGAGTTTATAATAGACTGTTTTGAGATGATTCGCTAGGGAATTGTACTGGAGCCGCCTCTGTGGCATTTCGAAAAATCCAAATTCCCGACCGGGGTTGAAAGTAATTCAATATTGCTCGTCTGGACTGGAGTCCGTAAAATTTTTGGATTGTTTATACGTAACGTGCACCATATGCACCGCACTTGAGGCGGTTCTAACGGTAGAATAAATATTTATTAACGAGTCCACTATTGTAATTGCTGTTTATTATTTATGGGAATTTAGCCGAGTTAAATGCGAGTATCATATTAGAGATATGTTGAGCGAAAAAAATCATGTAACTAAGTATCTATTTCAATTTGAGATCGTTAAGTAAATTGGAAATTAAACGCTAGTCTTTTTTTGTAACTATGTTTTTTATTAGTGCAAATTTTCGTGACAGTATACTTATATTTAATAAAAGGAAAAAAACAGTTTTTATTTACATATAATACAGTTTATATCTTTGGTATAACTTAATAGAAAAAAATATACACAGTGTAAAATTAAATTTAAACGAACGAACTAAAATTTATTCGTGATTGCTGCATTTTTTTTTAGATTTGACAACGTTGGTATATTTTGTGTAACTTATCTATAGTGAGCTAATAAACTAAGTTATTATTATAAATTAACTGGTCAATTTTATATCGATTGATTGCACAAACAAAACACAACTTCTGTTTTGCATCAAAAACCTTTCATCAAGCATAATTTTGTACGATTATTGTTTCGATAATAAATAAAATATACGATTTTCTAAAGAGATCCTATTGCTTGTATAAAGTATAGTTAAATCGATAAAACTATACAAACTCACCGAGTCACTAGATATACGATATCAAAAAAAAAAAATAATCAAAAACCCCCGGTTAATTCTGCTCATCTCTACCGCCCTCCATTCCATCCACCTCCTCCCGCTGGCTCACGTTCCCCACCAAGCTCGGATGGTAGTAATTGAAATACGGGAATATCTGCATGGAATTCGAGTACTGCTGGCACAGGTTCAGCATCGACTCCTGTATGCTCTTCGGGTACTTCTGCACCATGAAAAAATCCCCCTTCGCCTGCTCCCCGTAGTAGGACTTCTGGTAGAGCGGGCTCTTCTGCTGCAGGAACACCGGTATATCGTCCTTGACCAGCACTTTCACCGCCACCCGTTTGGCGCTTTGATTCAGCAAATTCGACTCCTGCATTTGCAGTTGTTTCCGCTTCGTTTTGTACCTGCAATAGATCATATACCTCGTTCATTTACTACCCTTTGTATCGTTGTTATAATAAGTATAAAGCTCGGAATATATGATGCAAACATCGGATGTACCTTCGATTCTGATACCAGATCTTGACTTGGGTCTCGGTGAGTTTGAGCGCGGCGGCTAGATCGGCTCGTTCGGGACCGCTGAGGTACCTCTGTTGGCTGAAGCGGCGCTCCAATTCGAACACCTGCGCGTGCGTGAAGGCAGCCCGCGACCTCTTCTTGCGGTTGGGTTGGCCGGCGTCGCGCGACGCCTCCTCCGATTGGCGCTGCGACGGCGGATAGCCGTCGCGGAGGGTAGCGATGTCCGCCAGCGGATCCGAAACTGTTGGACAAATCGTGGTACAGGGTGAGTTATATGCTCACAAACGAACGACAATTTAATTTTTTATACACACCCTGTATACAGTTCAGAGTTTTTCAATACAGGTTTTAATATTTCTGACCTGGCTAGTATAGGTGCCCTATACCAGAAACCTTTTAATGATTAGTTAATAGGAAGAATTAATAAGAGTAGGAAACATCAATTTTATCAGTGAGAAATGTGAGTAAAATATGAAGAATGCATGCATGGAGAAAAGACTAATTGTTGAATGTGATGAAAATGAGATGGTGCAGTAACATTATATTAATGAGAAATAAGTGTAAATTTTGAAAAAGTTAATTGAGAGAAGACTAATGGTTGACTATGTGGTAAAAATAAGATGTGGTGAAGAATATATAAGATATAATGAATACAATAAGAACAGAAAGATCAGAAAGATATTTACTTCTTCACTAAAAACTTAATATAGTGCATAATTTTATCGACTAACTATATCTAATGATTAAAGAAAGAAGCTTATAATATGGCAGGTTTTTCTTGTTTTGAAATAAATTATAAGTTTAACTTGTCGTCGATTTGTGTAGGATTGCAGTGGAAAAGTTTTTTAATAAATAGACACGTCAAAATCGTCGGTGTGGCGAAACGGAAAAATTGATGGAAAATGGTGAAGAAAATGGTGGTTGATACCGGCTGGCACCCGATGGATTTTCCCCGGCTTTTAGATTAAAAGCTTTTTGCACTTTGCTTACGTGTTACTTAATTTTAGTAATTGGTGGTTGAATAACGATATTTACGGGCGTTCATTTAAAACACATTATAAGGGCCGAAGACAATGGGACGCGATGACTATGTGGAAGGTTACAATGGAAGAATGGGATTCGATCTATTTTCGCGTGCGATTGCGACATTATGGTTTCCAACCAGAATTAATATAGATTGTCAAAGCCCGGCTTTATTTTGTAATCCGTGCTATATTACTATAATGAATTTCAAAAATTATTTAAAGACTCGAGAAAGCTTTTCTTTCTAACTGATGGCAAGCTTCTCTCTTATTACGAAGATTCTTGTTATATACATTTAAACTGCAATAGGTTTATGTTATGTTCATTTCTTTTGGAGTACCTATTGTATTATTGATTTACCTATACCTACATATTTTTGGGGAATTTACAGGGTGTTTATTAATAACATACCAATACTGAAGAGGTAATTCTTGGGCATTTTTAACAAAAAAACTTCATATGAACCTATGTCCTAAACGTCTTAACTTTCGAGAATTAGTGTGTTAAAGTTTTAAGAAAAAAATTATTCTTTTTTTTACTGTCATTTCCATACCACTTTATAAATATTTTTATGAAATTTGGTGTACGACGTTTATGTATTAAAGATCATTTTTTTAACTAAAAACATTTTAGGTCAAACGACAGTGGTGTCCCTACTGAACTTAGCCCTAATATTTTTGAGGGTAAAAGTGGTACGCCACTGCTTTTTCTTGAAATAAAAAATAATTTTTTGGATGCCCCGTTCAATTTAGAACAAATTTGATTTCTTGACCGTTTCGCATAAAAAAAAATCATTCATGTGTACGCTATAACATGCATAAGCCGCTGTGTTAAAATTAAAAAATAATAATTTTTAAGTATAGGACATATGATCATATGAATTTTTTTCTTAAAATGGATTCAAGATCATCCCCTTCAGTATTAGCATGTTATTAAAAAACACTCTGTATTAGAGTTAATTTTATGTTTTATAAGATTACATGAAATATTTTTTTAAGTAGGTACTTATATCAAATTTTGAGTTTCAGCATTTGAATGTTACATCGATAGACATGTTACCTCACCATCTCATCTTTATATTCGTTTTTCACTATCTCATTTTCACCACATTCAACAATTATACTCTTCTCTCCACTCTTTCAATTTTTACACTCAGCAATTCTGTGATTGATTATAATTGATATTTCCTACCCTTGTTCTTATATAGGTATACTCATCAAGCGATTTTCATATCTTATGTTTTCATTTTCTTTTAATTCTCATTTTTTTCCAATTTTTGTATAATTCTACAATATTTACCTAATTAAATCTCCCAATAATTCGGGATTAATTTTATAGGTTAGCCGACCAAATATTGAATAGCGAGCGCTGATTATTTGATGAACGCGGATTAGAATTTGATGAAGATTATTATTTAACGTTTCTAGCGTAATCAATTCTCATTTAATGTTTAAATTTATCTACTAATTACACCTAAACCTTCTGGTTAATTAAAGGCGCAACCGATTCGGAAAATAGGTCGAGCCGTTTTCGCTATATAATTTAACAGTTTTATTCGAAGTGGTTGAATAATTACTATTTAAAAGCATCAAAAAGTACGAATTTATTATATAGTACTCACCGTTCATATTTTTCTGGTTCTTCGACATATCTAAAGCCAATTCTTGTACTTCGTCGCCACTATCATCGTCTCTATCGTTTTTCAAAATGTCGTTTATGGAAAACGGCGTCACGGAACTCGAACTTTTCTCCACTCTCCCCTGACTACTGTCGTCCTCCATTTTTTTCCCCTATTTTCGGCTCCGAACTAATTCGACCGGGCGAAAAGCGCTGCGACGACTTTCGGCGCTGTCAATACACTGATTCCAGTCGAAGCGGCAAATTTATGGGCAAAACCGCGCTCGAACTTCAGCGCGCCACGCGTATCCCTGTACATCTCTCGTCTCCTTCCAGCGCGCCACTCCGCCCGCTCCGGCGTCGTCTTCCTCTCGCGACGCTCCCATTCGTCGAAGGTGGGCCCTAAGTGGGTCCTTCGAAACGCGAAAAATCCACGAAAAAATCCTCTCCGGCGTGTATTAATCGTTCAGATCGCGACTTCGGTGTAAACGTAGGTACCACACGTACAAGGAAGCCACTCCAAAAAAACATCTCGATACATGCCCGTCCACTTAATGTGTTTAAAATAGTTATTTTACAAACAAGTCTGCCTAAGTACGTGTACTTGAACAAAGTGGCCCACTTCGGGACCCATATGGTTATTATAACCCAATCGTTGTACAAACATTCCGGAGTTTACGTGAATAAAAAATGCGGGAGAAATATATGACGAGATAAAGGAAATCGGCGCGCTGAGAGATATCGTAAATATTTTACGGGCGGGTTATTAAAATATCGAAAAGCCAGTTTATTATCGTAAGTATTACCTGCCCGGCGAAAAATCCTGCGCTCTGATTATTATTCTGTGTACACGACGAGAAATATTTTCAGGTAAATGTTTCATAATGGAATTCCATCTCAAAAAAATCATTCGATTCATTATCGAGTCGATAATGGAATTAGTGATATAGTGAAAGAGAAAATTCAATCAAATCGTTTCAATTCGATTTTGAACCGACTCATTATCGATACTCTTATTAATTAATAGGTGGAAAATTATGCTAATCTGGTGGAATCGCACGCGTATACATACATCATCGTTTTAAGATCGGGCGAAAGAGAAAATGGTCTCGATTGTTCGGCCGTGTAAGCAGCCGCATGCTTGAATATTTGATTTGATGGGCATCCTTCGCTCTTTGTGCGGAACGCACGCGTGCCCTAAACGGTCCTAAAGAAGGGTATTGTTGTTGATCTATGATTGCACGTCGGTGCTCGGCGGCTCGGGAAATTTTCCGGGCCTTTGTTTTACGCGGAAAAAGCGCGATCGATACGGATTTTTCGGGTGCACCGGGACTCCTTGCGAGGTTCTTCGTTTGCGGACGGCCGGCCGGAAATTGGGTTGTCTTTTTGAATGAAACAAACAATTAGGTGAATTCGTATTTTTATGATGTGTATAGGTAATACACGTTGAAAGGTCGGGCACGTGTCCCGACGGAAGTTTAATATCGTCGGGAATAATTAAGGTTGTGATTCGGATTGAAACGAATTGATTTTACCGATACCTAGTAGGGGTTTTTACCCTTTCAAATTTAGTAATTTGGATATTTAGTTTCATTTACAGAGTGGCACAAATGCTATTATCCTACTCTATACCCACATTTTTGTTGCAACCTGATGTACAGGGTGTTAATTAATAATTGAGTGCTGATACTTCAGAATGTGAATATTTGGATGATTTTAAGAAGAAAGTTTATATCATTATATGTACTAAACTTCTTAGTTTTCGAGCTACAAGGTGTTACATTTTTAGAAAAAGAAATAACTTTTAATTCTATCATAATTTTCATAACTTTTCAAAATTTTCTTATCATTCCAGATATTTTTATGAAATTTCGAACGTGGACGTCACTGGTAATAGAAGAAAATTAATTTTTGTCCCAAAAAAAAGTGTTTCCATGCATGGTGGGCGCCTAACAAATTTCAACAAAATATCAAAAGCAATCTCAATGGATTTGGGAAAAAATTGTTTTAGTTTTTATTTTTTTTACACGAAAATGGTGCGTCATATGAAAGTAAGTCTTCCGACCAAATTTGCTCCAAAATAAATGAGGATTTTAAAAATAATTTTAGTTTTTAGAAAAAGCAGTGACGTACCATTTTTTCTTCAAACATATTCAATTAAAACCCCGTACGGACTTCACCGGTAAAATTTTTAACAAATATTTTGTCTTAAAAAATGCTCCTTAATAATTAGAAAGTGTGTACAATATTTCATAAAAATATCTGGAATAATAAGAAAATGACGATAGAAAAGTTTTTTTTTCTAGAAATAGATTTTTTTTTCTAAAACTGCAATGTAACACCCTGTAGCTCGAAAACTAAAAGATTTAGGACATATATTGATATAAACTTTTTTTCTTAAAATCATCCAAATATTCACATCCTGAAGTATCGGCACTCAATTAACTAAACCCTGTATATTGATGTATTTCTCCCAACTTTTATTACCCCATTATATTAACTCGTATACATCAAATTGTTGAATTTTCTTTGCAATAAATATTTCTGTAAACTATTCTCCCTTCCTGATGCGAATCGCAGGAAAATCGATTGTGAATTTCCCCATATTTATTTCGGCTTCTCAATATTTCAATTATTGACAACCGTCGATTCTGGCGTATGAAAAATTCATCGTTTAAAAGGTTTAAAATGCATTATTGAGGCATTAAGCGACGGAAAAGCGTCCGTCCCATGGAATTTTCATCCGCCTATCGAAACTGCAATGCGAAAGGTTTTCGAATTAGCCGCGATGGAAAATGGAGAATCGCCAATTAAACGCGATGCATAAATGATAACGCGGGAAATTCGATTCGGTGAAATTTTCCGATATATATTTTCGAAACACTTGTTAAAGTATTCGCGTTTGCCGCTCGTTATGCAAGCGCGTATAAATTATCCATTAATTTTCCGGCTCGAAAAATTTGTTTATATCATAAAGCGTGCTATTAACGACCAATATATTGCCGAGTAATTCACAAATATTAATAGTGGAATAGGTGCTTGAGCAAAAACCTGCGTCAAAACGATTATCCATAGAAAAATTTATGGTGGTTATCGCAACGGCTACGTTTACACGGGAAATTCAATTAAAGTTTTACCGAATTTTCCGCTTCACCTGTATGTAATGTAGTTCAAAGTGTTTTTTTTAGACTCGGGATTTTGTGCTGATGGTTGAATAGAAAAATAATGAGCAGCAGCAGCATATGAATAGAGCGAGTAATGGTTTGTTTGTGTTAGTAGGCGTATAAAACAATACGTCAGTCATCTGTCTTTTACTGCCGTGATGGTCTACCGGTCTATTTAATGTTTTAATGGTTGGATTTTATTTTCATATTTCATAAGAAATTTTATCTTCGTAGGCAATAGTAACAAGAAATAGGATTTTATTGAATGAATTAGTTATTATAGTTAGTTGTACTAGTAAAAGTCTTTTGAAACATTTAGAGATATAAGAAACATTTTTGAGTTCATTCTGGAGTAATCCAAATCCAAAATTAACCGGTTTTTATTTCGTAAAAACGATAAATCGCAGTTGATGTAACAACAATAACAGATCTCCGATACTACTAATTCATCGATTAACGGCAATCGAATCCTATAAACAGTACATAAAACTATACCAATAACACGTTTTACACCCATTCTCCAAATACATCAGTTAATAGTCTTTTTATGAACAATCAAAAGACTAATTTCTCTTAGTAAAATAATCAAACGGCGAAGCGCTCCTCCCAAAACAGCGGCGCCACAACCTTTTATTTCGATATAATAAAAGCACTCTCGGGATATTTTTAATCCCATCGAATTTTCACCAAATTTTATATTATTTGACCTAGAATAAATTACTGTGAACTCGAGTGTTTTTCAATTCACTTGCCAATTCTATTAGAACATCATTTGAGATTCTATTAAACCTATAACAGGGAGGGAGATGATTGAACAGTGCAGATAATTATGCGTGAATTTCTATGAGATAAGTGTTATTTAGATAAGTAGCCTTTAGCTTACAATTAGTGACAAGTGACAATTAGATTAGTTTCTTTTAGATAAGTGTAACTTAGTTAAGCAACAGTTAAATTAGTGACAATTAGATGAGTTTATTTTAGATAAGTGAGATAAGCAATAATTAGGTAAGTTTCTTAAAAATTAGGAGAATAACTAGTAGTTTTGTACAACTATATAATTTCTTACAATTAGATATACATATTAGTACAGTATAATAGGTATTATTTAAGCCAGATTAGATAAGCTTCTATATTAGAGAAGATATTAGAGAAGTAACTATTTGATATGTTTCTATTAGATGTGCTTTAATCAGATAAGTTTCTGTTAGATAAGTTTCTATATAGATAATGAATTTTTTTGAAATCCAATTCTTCTACTAAGAATAAAATTAGTTAGTGATTTTAAGATGAGTAACACCACTGAAGCGGAGTATTTTAACTGCGTTTTAAATGGTTATTGATGTAAACAGCGAACGACGTGTTTCCGGAGTTGGTCGGACCATCACTTTTAACCGGAAACAGCATCCACATCTAAAGAAAATACAGACGATACAGGCTTTCGAATTATCTTGCCATGTTTGCGATGCGCCTTGATTGCTCGACGATTAAAAGCCGCTATTACGGCTTTACGTATACACATATTCTACTGTGGATATACACACACACACACTCACACACGTGTGCTTCGCTTTGTTATGTTTCGGGCGATGGGAAAGAGTTAATAAATTAAATTTAGAATATTAAAAGAAACGCTCTTTTCGCTCTGTTCGATTCGAATTACGCGAATTACGCTGTATATTAATAATTTAGCCGTTCTAAAAGTAGATATTTTGAAACGTTTTAACGGCTATTCTAAGTGAAACAAAAACCCCGTCTAAATCTAAACCGTCGAAAGCGAAATCATTTTACGTACTTCCATTATTCTAAAACCAGATTGTTTTCTTTGTAAATTTAAAGATTCTCTGATGTGTTTAATTGACAGACGTTTAAACGCCTACCGTATAAATCAACCGATTATTTGTGTACTCGTGATAAATGTTTGGACAGTATTAGGAACCGGGATGAATACAGCACGGACCGACTTTATTACAATCCACCATTACAATGAATTATATCCTCCATGATATTCTTAGAAACGCTAAAAAAAATTAAATAATCGCTCGTTTAATCATTATTGTTTAGAAAAAAAAAATTGTGCAATTTGTGCGATTACACGAACACACTAGTTATTTCTCCACGCAGCTTTCAATAGAGCTTATATTATAGAGCTTTCGATAATTCCAGTCGAGTATAAAAGGCGAAAAGGAACAGGCATCGATTCCGCGATTTCTGTCGAGCCCACGAATCTCTCTTCGAACAAAGTATAGACAGAATGGCATCTGATTGGCCAACAAAAAAGTTTGTCGAAGTTGTCAACCGCTCCTCGAGAATCTTTATCACGACCGTGCCGTTTTAAGATCGGTACATTCGACGGCAAAAAAACACATTTCAACAAAAAAAATATTGTAGACAGATGACACATGACAGATGACACATGACAGATGACACATGACAGGTGACACATGACAGGTGACACATGACAGATGACAGGTTTTTGTTCATATAACACATATTTTGTTACCAAAGCCCAATTAATAACACCTCTTGATGTGGAAGGTTGTGTTTAATTTCTATGAATTGAATTGAGAATATAAATTGATTGGTGGTGAATTTTTGGCATTGAATGTACGCGTTCGTTCGACTTGTTGACGGGATGTTCGAGTTAAGTTGTGGCGAAGTCGAGGGTCGCTTGATTGAAGCGGAGCGGCGCGTCGCCGTCGTCGGGATGAAAGAGAGAGGGAGAGCGCCGGGACGCCCCCTCGATATTTTTTTTTTGTCCGCCGAACTCGTTTCGCGACGGCGTTTAGGGCCCGTTACGAAGCTGCGGTTACGGCACAAATTGATCGTGATTCCGAAAAGAATATCTGGAAGATTGGCCGCGTTTTGGTATTCCCGGCGTACGCGAGCTCGATCGGCGACTAAAAGTCATTATTTAATTGGAAAATTGCAGTGACGAGTCGGTTTTTTTCTTCCTCTTGCTCTCTTTCGGGCTATTAGCGCTCATTAGGGAGTTGGGACTTGGGACCGGAGGGTCGGGGGCGAGCCCTATTGAGGGATAATTTGCTGGGAATTCGCTAAATTGTCACTTCGATTTTATCGGTATCAATACTTGATTAATTTCATTTCGTTTTCGTACAATCTCTACAAAATTAAGTAATTTTGTTGGAAAATTGGAATAAAACATAATTTCTTCAATAAACATACAATTCTACAAACTTATAACAGTCCATTGCACACCTTATCACATTTACAGCTATTTATTTCTCCATCAAGTCTGATGTATGTACTTTATACACTAAATCACACAATATTATATCAATAAATTTTCCTCATAATTCTTTTAAAGGAACTTTGCTCTACTAACATTTATAGGTAAATAGAAAAATTCCGATTGCTCATAAAACAATTCAAGTACAGTCCCCGCATCCCCATCGTCTTTTTGTTTGCCGATTCTCTTAGGGTTAATTTTTATCAAAACAATCACATAATACTCGTTTTCCTGCTGTGTCGGATTTCACTGCCATCATTTCATTTCATTTCACTTGTATTGTTTACATTAGTTAAAAGGCTATCGAAGGGTGGATTTTGATTCCCAGATTTTTCGACTTCGCGATATCGGTCTTGTAAATATTATTAGATCGAGTCGAACTCGAGCATTTGGAGATGTTTGTCGGGTATGAGCAAATAATTTTTTTCAAAGGAAAATTGATATAGTCGGAATAAATTTATTCAATGTTAATTTTTGTGATAGAAATTCTAATGGTATAAACCTTCACGATAATGTATTACAATTTTGATTTAATATATTCAGCTTTTACAAAAAAATATCGTTCCTTTAATCATTTTCTTCTAACAGATTTTTGTGGAATTATTTACTTACTTGCTTACTACTCATCCCAATTATTTTTCAAAATTTTCCCAATTTTTGCGTTACTTGCGCCATCTATACGTGAAGAATTCCATTATAGCATCGCCTTCAATACAAGCAGAATGTATTTCTGTAAGAATAATCATTCAACTTTACCGCAACAGATGGTAGCACCATAAAAATTTGAAATAAATTCCTAGTAACATACTATATTTTTGTTACGACATACACTAACAATATTTCATTTTCGGAATAAAATTTTTTATAATCCGATCATTTTGTAAAACATTCCTTTACACTATACAAAAATTGCACGAGACTATGGAATTTACACCCCCCATTTTTGAATCAATTATTGGGGTGAATTGGGCTGTGATATTCAGTCAGTGCTTTGTTTACGCGACAGCATAAACACTATAAAGCAGATTACGCGAATCCATTTATGATTTCTTCGAAATTCGACGCTATACTAACGGACTTTATTTACTTAATTAATGAACATCTCATATACCCGGCGCAATATTTCAATCGATAATCTCCATTCACATATACAATAATGTTCATGTGCGGGGAGAAGTGTGTATAATTAAGCGGGTTATTCGTGAAAGACAATTCTCACTTTAAATTTTTAAATTGTAATTTTTATTCGATCAGGAAAAATCATATTTTTTGTGTAAAATTTTATTTTATAGTAAAATATAACTAGAATAAAATATGTACATTTTTTTATAATTTTAGATGCAATACAAATAACGAATTCATTAGTAAATGACAATTTTTAAAACTTAACATATAAAGCTTTTTATTTACATCAGTCTAAAGCTATAAAATGGTAACAGGATTTTTTTGGTTCTGTTTAGATGAGAATAACAAAAAAAATTGAGTCGTAATCGAACACCCAAGAATTTAATTAAACAATCTTTTCAAAACACAATTAAGTGCTTTAACCGATTAAAAATTTTACAAAATCGAACCAACTTAATACGAGCGAGTTAGGAACAGTTCTAGATATAAAATTCCCTGCTAAATTACGGATAAGTCATGTTCATATCGTTGTACCGATCCTGACACATGTACTCGCTATGACTGTACATTTCGGGGTTGTTTTGAAACACATACGCGTTTTGAGGTAGCTGTGGATTGAGGCAAAAAGCCGCCGATGTCGGCGTATCGACCTTCTTCTCCATCAATTGGCTCTTCTCGATTTTCATCCTCTTATTTTTGTATCTGCAACCCATTAGAAACAATGTTAATATAACAGTTTAAACATATTTTTAAGCGGTCTCACCTTCGATTTTGGAACCAAATTTTGACTTGGGTCGGGGTGAGTTTCAATCCCTGCGCCATTTGCTCCCGCTCGGGCGCCGACAGATACTTTTGCTGCTTGAATCTCTGCTCCAATTCGTAGACCTGGGCCTGGCTGAACAGCACCCGGGGTTTCCTTTTCGATCGCTGCCGCCCGGATTTCCGGAGTTCCGTTTTCGAGCTGGTCACTTGTTGGATTTCTGAAAACAAAAACCGATGATTTATTTACTTGTTTATTTTTGAAAACTCGCCTGAGGGGATGTTTAACTCAATGCGTTATTGATGGGGAATGTAGATAATTCAACTATTTAGTTTAAAGAAATATGCGGATTTGTTGCATTAGGGTCAAAAGGTATATTGAATTAAAAAAATAGTTTTGTGTTTTTTTTTTCTTTTAGCGAATTCTACATTAAAATAATAATCCCTAATTAGAGTAGAATAGAGTTTTAGATTAGAGTAGATTAGAGTGTATTAGAGTAGATTAGAGTAGATTTTAGTAGATTAGAGTAGATTAGAGTATAGATTAGAAAAGATTAACGTAGATTATACAGTAGATTACAGTAGAAAGTACAAAGAGTTAGAGAGTAGAAAGTTGATTAAAGTAGAGAATACATAAATAGAGTAGAGAGCAGTAGGTAGAGGAGAAAGCAGTATAGACAGAGGAGAAAGTATATTAAAGAATAGAGAGTAGATATAGTAGAAAGTAGATAGAGTGAGGAGTAGATGGAGGAGAGAGCAATAGATAGAGGAGAGAGAAGATAAAGTAGACTAATGTGGAAAATTCTTGCATAGAATTAATGCAACATGCAGATAATAAAGTTTTTGTATAACAGAAATTTGGTGTCGAATTAAGATTCAGGTAAATTCGGTGCGGAGTTCCGGTACACCTGAAGTTAGTAGCCTCCACAAATAGTAAAAATCCATCCCAATTTGATAGGTACATAATATGCCCAATGAATAGAAGAAAAATAATTTCTATAAAAACTTACTGGGGCTTTCGACTTTGATATAATTAACATCATCCTTACTGGCCGACGTACTCCTCTGATTCACTTGCTCGTTCTGCTGGGCGCCCGAATGCAAATTGTTCAAATACTGCAAATGATTCGCGTAAGTCCCGTCACCGTAATCACAACTCCAATAATTCCTGCCGACGAAATTCTCACTATCACCGTTGAAATAGCACCCGTACTGTTCGAAATTACCGCCGGCGAATTCGGCGTTATCCCAACAACTTTGGTTCCAATTCGACGGATTGTTCTCCTTTTTCACGTGATTGTTGTTCGCGTAGTAATCGTCGTTGATCGCGTGTATGTTGAGGATGTCTTTCACCGAAAACGGCGTCGTGGTCGTGTCGCATTGCAAATCCGTATTAGCGATATCGAATTGGTGCATCATTGTGGACCGTTTGATGTTCGAACTAATTATGTATTTCGCTTCTTAGTGCTTTCGGAGGGATCATTAGCACAGTGAAAAGCCGTCGGTCGGGCCCGGCGGTGATCGCGATCGAAATCGAGCTTAAAGCTCGTCGAGCATAAAGCTCACGTTGGCATGGGAGCAGCGTTTAAGTCGAGTTACGTAGGGGAACCGCCCCTGGCCAATCGAAAGCCGGTTTCAGCTAATATTTGCTCGTAGTTGATTGATTAAAGAGCTTGTGTAGGCGATTAAATGATTTTCGAGTTTTTTCAGCGGCGGACGAGCGCGTGGATTTATCTGGATGTTTCGTATTTAGACTGATTATTGCTCTGTTTTAATGCCATTTACGTTTGTAATAATTAATTGAGTTCCGCAATATTATAAATAATTTATTGGTGATGTTTAAAATAGCATGTACTCTGCTAAAGTATGTTGAGTAGTATTAGATTGGAGTATTTAGTATTTTTCTTTTCTTATTTATCTAATAAAATAACAGTTTTGAATTCTATCTTTTGCCTTTAATAAAAGTCTTCTTTTTCTATATGGCTGAACACTTCTGTTCCCTTTTCAATGTGACACTCTGTATAACCTTAATTTTGAAATTGGATTCTCTTCTTGTACTCAACTTAAAGACAAACTTTTTAATTTTCTGCATGTCATTAAATTATTAGCAAACCTACTTAAGAAAATTTGTTTTGAACTATTAACACATAGCAACAAAGTTTTCTACAAGTAGTTTTTACAATAAACTATAGGTACTAAAAGATTGTTTTTGGGGGGAAATAAATACCCCCATACAGCCCTAAAGAAAAGCTCATCAGCAATTACATACAAAAACCCAATGAATATGTCTAATTAATATACGAAAAATAAAAAGGGTTAATTAATATATCGAGCCCATTTGCTTGTTAAATATCAAAATGAGCTACCGTATGGATTGAATTCGGAGCAGCCGTACATAATAATAAACACACCGTCACTAAATTTATAAAGGGTTAATATCTCCTCCGGTCGGTTATCTAAGTCGGTGCCAAAAGCTTTTAGGTTAAAAGGTGATCTGGTGCTAACTAATGGAATTTTTGCGCCGGAATTCAAGACAGAAAACAGCGCGCCTCGCGATAACGCGCCTATTAATACTACATAATACGGAGATTAGGTATATTATTAATAATGTTGTGGGGTTTCTGCGTTTAGATTTATTTTTCGCCATTCGGAACCCATCAATCTCACGTTCGATACGATTACATTGAATTATTGAAGAAGAAAGAATACGCATGTTTACGCATTATTTCTAGAACACTCTGTATTATTCTACGTACAGGTTGTCCAATAAAAAAATTTCTATTATAGAGGAAGGAAAAAGAAAGAGTGATATTTGCGTATAGGAATTTTGAATTTTTCTCCACCATTATTTTAATAGTCTTTCTTTGCACAAAAAAGGTACAATATATAGTCATAGAATTGACTCTATTGTACTTCTAAAATTTATGGAGTTTTGTCAAAAAAACGAAAAAAAAATCATTTTTAAACAATCTATAAACCCAAGTAAAAATTCGACGCATCTTCACGGGTATCTTTGTAGGCTTTTTTCCACCTCTCTTAGTTTCTAGCAATATTTACGAGACACCTCGTATATATTTAACCGTGTTAAAGTGGAACCCACAGATATTCTTACACACACACATTACAGCAGAAAAAGTGAAAAGTGGCCAATTTGTTATCTATCTACATAATATATATTCCCCGGCCCGTCTAGCCTTATCGGCACCTAAGCAATTATCTGCCAAATTATGACACTTTTCGCATCGAAAAATACGATGCCCGACCGATCTAGATGGCTTAGGCGCCGCCGGTTCGAAACAAGTGAATCCGTGTGACACATATATGGCGCTATAGCAGTCAAAGAAGGCCGTGTGGTTTGCGTTTCACCCTCTTTCGAGGGTGATGAATGCGCGTATTAAGAGCGAAACGTAAATAGGTAGTAAATAATATCGAACGCGTTCGATTCCTTGGGAAAGAATTTCGAATAGCGAACCGGAGGAATTTTAATGTTGTAATTATAAGGGTTGTGCGGTTGGTTCGTTGACAGATCGATAATTGTTGAGATGAGTACAATATAGGAGTTTATTGTATAAACAGTTTGGTGTATACGAGGCGAATTCGGTATTTTATTTTCCTGGTGTCGATGGAATTTGGTATACAGGGTGTTAATTTATAAATGCGACAAACTTGATATTCAAATGAAATTTGGTGGGTTTTGAGAGGTAACTATTACGCATTTTTGGAGGTAAAATTAAAAAGTTTATGTTCATAATTGACGCGCATGAGGGTTATAAAATTTTTTTTTAAAGAAAAAATAATATTGGTACGCCTCTAAGGAATTTTTACTAAAAATTCAATTACGAATGAATTCCTCGTTCAATTTGTGACAAAAAAACTCTCTTGTGTTTTTTTCGTACGGGCCGCTGTTTTCGAGTGAAAAAATAAAACATCTTGACGTGCATTTTTCATTTCCTCAATATTCATTTCCAGTTGTATTTCAGAAAGCATCAATTGAATTTAAGAATAGTCACTTATATTTCGGAAAGTATCTGTTATATTTCAGAATAGTCAATTTGGTTTCAGAAATAATCAATTGTATTTCAGAATAGTCAATTTGATTTTAGAAATCATCAATCGAATTTCAGAATAGTCAATTGTATTTAAGAAATTATCATTTGCGTTTCGGAAAGTGTCATTCGTATTTCGGAAACCGTCAAAAAGATTTCAGAGTCTCATTTGAAATGCAGAAATCATATGACAATTGTTAATGAAGAAGAAAAACTGAGTCCACTCCACAATTTATATAATTTTTTCGGACTTAAAACAACTTCTCTCCGGAATTGAAATATTTTTTCAAATTTTTTTCTGAAATTAAGATTGAAAAGCTATAGATATTGAAGAATTCCGAAATACAAATGATGATTTCTGAAATGAATTTGACTGTTTTGAAATTCAAATGATCGTTTCCGAAATCGAACTGACTATTATGAAATACAACTGATGGTTTCTGAAATCAAATTTATTATTCTGAAATACAATTCGAAAAATCGAAATGTAATGTTTTCTGTAATACAATTGATTGATACTTTTCGAATTACAAGTGACTATTCTGAAATTCAATTGACGCATTCTTAAATAAACCTGGCGCTTTCTGAAATACAGTTGGAAATGGTGTAGTACTGAAAAACTTTAACACCCCTTATCTCTAAAACGAAGCATTTGCGGACATACATTTATATAGCAAAATATCATTATTTCCTCATGCAGAATCACCCCCCGAAATTAGTCGCACTTATTAATTACCACACTGTATATACATCTTATTAATTCAATATGTGTTTCATTAAAAAGAAAGTACTAGTATATGCATGTTATGTCCCATTTGAAATGTCTCTAACACCAGCCTTAAAAGCCCATACACCGGCTTTTACCCGACATAGAAGGAAAGCGGAACAAAGGGTCCCGTTCAGTCCAGGCGCCGCCGCCGTCTTTTTAGACGTTATAAATTCGTCAAAAATTTCGACACGAACATACGCTCGCACGCTATCGAACACGTTTCCTTCGGAATAAGGCATGAGGCATCGCGGTGGCGCCGACCCGATGGGACGTGGATGGAGCCCGGCGTTCCCTCGTATATCCCCACAATAACCATGTATCCCCGCAATCGGCAATCACACGGTCTCGCTCTTCTTTTACACTAACCAGATGACCGGTTGGATCCAGGCCGACGTCTCTCGCCCAGTATAGTGTGTATACCATTCGTTTACCGGTCAATGTTGCCGGTTTGTATATATAGGATCTTTTTGTTTCTGGTCTTTGTATTTTTACATACATTTGATGTCTATATGGTTCTTAATATAGAGGAAATTTTCCTACTAAAGTAACGTTTATAATGATTTCGTTTACTCGCTTAAAAACTAATATATCTATCGTACACCTCTTTTGGGAGTGTTACTGAAAGTATGCCGAAGGAATCGAAAATTCCACCTATATTATTTGACTAACTTCTATTGTCAATAATACAGGGTGTTAATTAATTGAGTGCCGATACTTCAGGATGTGAATATTTGGATGATTTTAAGAACAAAAGTTTATATCCATTTTTTTCCTGAACCTCTTAGTTTTCGAGCCATAGGGTGTTACAGTTTTTGAAAAAAATAACTTTTCTATCATCATTTTCTTATTACTCCAGATATTTTTATGAAATTTCCGACGTGGACGTCACTGGTAATAGTAGAAAATTAATTTTTGTGCTCAAAAGAAAAGTGTTTCCATGCATGGTGTACTCTCAAAAAGTAGTGAATGAACTCAATAAACTTGGGAAAAATTGTTTTGGTTTTTATTTTTTACGCAAAAATTGTGTAAAAAAGATGAATGAGGATTTTAAAAATAATTTTGGTTTTTAGAAAAAGCAGTGAGGTTCCATTTTTTCTTCAAACATTTCTTCAACATTCAGTTTAAATCAGCCTCAAAAATGCTCTTTAATAATTAATAAGTGTACAAAATTTTACAAAAATATCTGGAGTAATAAGAAAATTATAATACAAAAGTTTTTTTCTAAAACTGTAACAACCTGTAGCTCGAAATATAGGTTTAGGAAATAAATTGATATAAACTTTTCTTCTTAAAATCATCCAAATATTCACATCCTGAAGTATCGGCAGTCAATTAATTAACACCCTGTATATAGGTAGTATTTACAAGCTGCTTCAATCAGCAATTCTGCTGATTTTTAATTAAATTCCGTCATTTACACGATAGTCAAAAATTTATCCAGCATCAAATTATTAAAATGGACGAAAAAAAAGTTCCATTATACCCGAGGCACTTATACAAAGCGCGTCTACCGCACTACTAAATCTTAATGCTCGTATTTTTTAGGGCCATTAAAGTGCATAAAAAATATATTAATTGGGGCTGTGGAGTTTACACGATTTACTTTGTACGCGTTC